GTAAAAATCGGCTGTATTAATCTTGCTTGAATAAACGTGAACAGAACTAGCGTGGATATGAGACATCATTAAAAGCTACATATACAGTAAAACACGGTTATAACGAAGTCACAGGGACCAATAAAATTACTTCGCTATATCTGTAATTCGTTATATCCGTATAAGGAATTCGTTAAATATATATAGCTGTGGATATTAGATAACTTCGCTATATCTGTAAATTAACTATATCCGTGTTCTTACTAAACGAGTTTTGCTGTATATGTTTTCTAATATTCAACATATTAACAATTAAAAAAAATTGGTATGCAGGAAACTGCTTTCGTACCCTTTTTGCAGAGAAATGGTAACTCTTCTTTGCAGTCTTTCTTGGAGATGGACGCTTCACCGTTTGCAATTATCCTTACGGCCAAACAGTTGAAAAGAGAATTTTCATTTAAGGCAACATCTACAAAATGACATTTCCATATGATTTTCTTTTGAATAAAATACTACTGGTATTTTGATATATTAAATAACAGTTCTGTAAGAGTGTCCTAACCGGCCGTCCAGTAGAGGTCACTGCGACGTGAAATCCCGGTCCATGCTACAGTTGTACTCTGTACATCCATGGAGTAGAGTCCTTGGTGGACAGAGCTCAGCACAACGTCACACTGTAGGACTGCGTCCGCCCAGTCAACAGGCCCAGAGACAAGCTGACCATTACCTATTAATCAGTTATTATAATAAGTATTATAAAAACATTTTCCCGAGTATTTTATTAATGTTACTATGTAAATCAAGTAATTCAATAAAACAGCTTACAAATGTATGGTAGCCGGCTATCACAGGGCAATAATTTGTGAGAAGATCTAGAAGACAAAGATTCTCCCGGAACAAGTATGGCTGCTACACAATCTCCGGTACCTGTACCTGAAAATCACAAAATTGAAGAGTCGTTAATACAATGATTATTTGATTACAATTCCTGTTATAAAATTTTTACTTAAGTATACTCAATCTTATTAAAAGACATTTTGATTCAGTTCTGGTGTTTTTATAGGGAAACAAATATAATTATTGTTACAATTTCCTAGCATCTTATCGTTTTTAAAGATGAATATCGAGCTTTATCATTTAAATTATCTTATTTTTATCATTAGGTTGTAGTAATTATTTTTTTTTTAGTTTATCCCTGTCTATATAAAGTCATACCATTGTAAGGAAAGGGTCTTGGGTTCAGAGAATTTGTGTCATACTGTACTACAGCGGCCTGGTCGATCCCCGCACTGTTGGAGTATCCATACACATCAAAAGAGGTAGGTGACACTCTTCTATTTTGGCAAAGGTCCCCAGAGATTTGTAGTTTGTTGAAACAAAAGCATGCATTTGTCTACAAAATCAATACTAATTCCCTTCTGAACCATATTGACTTTGTTGGAAAGAAGTAAACCGTTTATATATTTCAAAATTTTTTTTTATCAATTCTATCCACTATTCTTTACACGTGCATATGCTGAAGTCAATTTTAAAGATTAAATCTTGACAATAGAAACTAAAAACAGAATCCAAACTATAAATATTGAAAACGGTCCATTTTTTGGTTAAATTTTGAATTCCTCATTAGGCTAAGAATTGGACTTTTTTCTTTGACTTTAAGACGTTAAGGAGGGTGTTCGCTGATAAAAACACAAGATATCTTTGAAGAACTCACAGACAAACCAAACACTCTGTACTGTTCACATTCTTGAAAGCATTGATGTACAGGCCGGTTATTGTCATTCACTTGGATGTTAACTTTTTTTATGAAATCCCTCTGGGTCACTACCTTACATGCTGTAAAAATAATTGATAAAATAAAGATTATTAAATGTACTTGACTGTATGAATACATTAAGTATATATTTAAGCGATTGGCAATGACAATAACAATCTATCATTTAGTCAAATTCTGACTGACATTTTTCATTCTATTTGTTAGACTATTATTTAAAGACTGATTTTAAGATCATGACAAGGGGAACACGGCGGGTGTGACCGGTCGGCAGGGGAATTATCATACCCGCATGGCACCTGATCCACCTTTAAACGTTTTGAGGTCCGTATTTACTTCGCTTCTGATTTGTATCGTTTAATGGACTTTTGAGCTTCCATTACCCCCTAATACTTCATACAGAAAATAACTTTTAAAAAAATATCAGTATACATGAGAAAATAGAAAATGAAACTATCTACATTTTTCAGGTATCCTAAATTAGTTTTTAAATATTGGTGTAGACTATACCTTTAGAATATATTTATTTTATAAACTACCACAGAGAAAAAGATGAAGGATGGTTTGATTTTAAAAAGAGAATTTATAAAAGGTGTATCATACCCATTTGGAAAAATGCATGATTAAAAACATTTTTCTGACATACATGTACCGGGGTACTTTATTTCAGCCTGTTTGCACAAGAAATAAAAAATGTAAAAGACAACATGTGTCATCTATGTATAACGATGTGGATAGATGTCACAAAAAAATTCAAATATTACTGAATATCGTATTTTGAAAAGAAAGGTTAAGAAAGAATTTTTTTAACAGAGTTATATTGTTAATAACATGTGTTGTAGGATACTCTATGATTACTTGAGGATCTCACAACTCGAAAATGTATAGGGTACGAAATGCAAATCTCCATGCAGGCAACATGCAACAGGTATGTCTACCGGGTAATCATTTAATTAAAAAAAATGTGTTTTCACTCACACCACCTAGGCTTTACCAATGACTGACGAATCTACAATTAGTAACTTTTGGACCAAAAAACCGGACCTATCTAATGGAATGAACAAAGGATTGATTCATGTGTACGACCACAATTAAAGCTTGACTTCTTGACCTTAAGTTAGATCACTATTGCGGTTAAAATGTTTACTTATTTGTTCGCTGATTTTTGTGGTATGTTTTCCGGACATTTTGAATGTCAACCCTCGGATATCGTAAAATCTTAATGCTGTTTTACTTCAGGCTTAACACGCTCCTATTACACACGTGTGTACAGTCAGATACAGGAGGAATGTTGTCATTTTTCCTGAAAAAAAACTTATATCCTTCTTTTTGAAGAAAGCTTTATTGCAATCTGTAAAATTAAACACATTTTTATATCATTCAAAGGGGTTTCTTACCAAGGCATAGAAATATTTGTTTAGAATTGAATTTGATGTTAATTGTGTATGAACTGTAAAACTTTTGGTATACGAGTTCAAATGTACGCTTTTGTTATCTAAAAAATTGTTAAAACTGAAAAATATTAATAATGATATTTATATAGTTAAATATTGTCATATTTACGCGTTTTATTTGAAATTCACCAATGGCCTTTAAAACACTAGAAGTCACAATAATTTTAGCCTTTATATTCGAAGTTTAAAATTTGAGACATTTTTATTCAAAATTTTTAACTTTCTGAATGTTGGAATTAGCCTGAACAAAATTTTACTCCTTGGCAAATTAATTTTTTTTTTACTTCAATGTTGCTTATTTAGTTATTTGAGGAAAGTAATTTTTTCCTGCTATTGCATAAATTCTTTGATAGTCTCTATGGTTTACAAAGGAAAGAAAATTAAAGTGAAACACCTGGATAGAATCTACCTTAGTTCAGGCAAAGGTCATTCAGTTTTAAGGGTTTTTTCCTTTCGTTTTCTTATATTCTAAGGAGGTTTCCAGGCATAAAAAAATCCACAAAAGGCTCATCAATTATTAGAATGAAAAATTGGAAATAACAAACAGCGTTTGACGTAAAAAAAATTAAACAATACAAATCCAGCTTTTTAAAAATGGCATGAGGAGTGATTAACCGCAATATTTTTGTAGGTTTGAAATATGTCCTTACTTTTTATTTTGAAAACCTTGTGTAAATGAAATCCTTGATTTTATTAAACTTACAGAAGAATTATCTCTAAACTGCATACTAAAGAGTTGAGTAAGTTTGTTTGTTTGTTTTTTTTAGGGGAGGAGCGGGGCAAGTGGAGTGACCCTTTGATCTAAATTGAAAGCTACATTACCCTATGTATTATATTATTTCTTCATATGTTTCATTAATCATGCATTGTAAACGTTTTAAAAGATGGATATAATTAAAAATACACATTTTGTTGGAGTGTATTTATTGCACTGAAGTAAACAGAAGTAATGTGTTCATTAATTTTTCTCTCAAAAACCATATAGAGAATGAAATTTAAAAAAAAACATATTTAGGCCTTTGTGGAAAGAAGGAAGACACTGGTTTCTGTGTGCATCTGAAACGGGGATGCAAATGTTCATGCATCTGGAAAGATTGGTTTCATACAGTCCATTTATGTATATATTCACAAGGAAAAAAATAATTTCATCCATAACACAACTTAAACAATTAAAAGAAGAATAAAAAGGAAATGTTAAAAGGACAAACTTTACATGTATTTAATTCATAGAAGTTAGCTTTACAATGTGGTTTAATCCGCATGTAACGTACAACATAAATCTGATCAAGTAGTGTAGAAATGCTGGTTAAAATGTTGAAACGGTGAATCACTCAATAATTGCCTTTAAAGGAAGTAAACACTAAAGTATTTTGCATCAGTAATATAATATAAACGTTTCCAAATGCAGGGAAAGAATTTGTGATATCAGCTTGCACAAAATAACTCTCTAAGAACGATGGAAAATATATACAGTGACGCCGTGACGTCGTTTGCCATCTGTTGGTCGATTCTGGAAATTCCAGTGGTGGAATAGTTAGAAAAAATATCCGTTTATCGGATACATGTACACATGCCGCGTGTCCTATGTATTGTTCGTTATCTCTTCATATATTTCATTGATCGGACGGTAACTTTAGGATTTCTGAAGGTTTCATACCGTGTATATATTCTCTAACAAGGTCATTAACACGAACATATGAATGAATGCAGACTATTATCAATTGTAAACCTTTGGTTAAAAATTGACCATATCCTTCAGTATCGCATAAGCTGGAAAATTTAAACATCATATGCAGACTTGTGATTGCAGGATATTGCTTCATAAAATGGTTTTGAATGGAAAAATTGAAATCTCGTTTGCCATATTTTATTGCTTTACTAAATATATACAGGTGTGGGATCTGCGGTGTATTTTATTCCAGGTTCACTGGGATATATCGAATCGACATATGAATGAAAGTTACCATTATCAATTGATGAATATAAAAACATGAAGTTGAAGACCACAACAAACTTTTTCAAAGTTTTGAACAAATTCTACTTTCGGAATAAAAAAAATAGTAGTATTCAAAATTGCGTTGTCCTAGTTTTACCGCTTTTTTTAATGTTTATAATCTTTCTTTTAAATCTTAAAAATGGTGTATATTATTTCTTACTGAAAACATCAAACCACGGAGTGTGGAGTGAAACCGCTCCAATCCAGTATGGCTGTTCCTCATTGGTGATGTCAGTGATGTCTATTTTTTCTGCTGTTACCTCCCCTGTCAGCATGGAACCTGCCAACTCACACAGGGAATTAGCAGAACTCCACGAAGATTTCCAGTTCACAACTAATAATGAAAGCAAAGTTTGTAAGTTGCATTTGATTATAATTTTGATGTAGTGATTATTAATTCATTCGATAATGTATATAAAAAAATTTTTGTTTTTTACAGAAGGTTCAAACTAAATTATAAATTAGAAGTAAATGTTATAGCAAAATCACATAGGTATCTTGGATTAAATAAGGCATAAAAATGTTGAACTCTAAAGCAGAATTTCAAAATTTAATTGTCACTTTAAAGGTAAATACTTCACCTGAAAAAGCTTGTTCAAATGTTACAGTCGATCAATGTTGTTTTTTTTTTAAGAAAAAAAAATAAAAAGTTCGATTCATTTGAACAATCAAGAGGTACTGATAATTAAAATGTAAAGTTCAAATATATCAAAAATAAAATGTTTGACAAATTCTTACCTTCATTCTGGGTAAAAACTAGAATCAACCGTATAAAGATAACAGCGCAGGGCAATGCTTTTCTCTTGACGAACATCTTCAATGTACCATGAGTATAGTTTGAGGTCAACGGCTCAGTAAAATATATAAACTAAGGATGGACCAATCTTTTAAGAGGATATTTTATTACTTTTTCTATTTGCATTTTATTGTTTTTAAAATCTTAAAGACAAGGCATTTGTAAATGAAGTCAAGCAAATCCAAACCATTTAAAGAAAAGTACACTCATGAATTGTAAATTTGTCTTTCTATTTAAGACATAAAAACAAAAGGATACAATTTAGGTAAGCCACATATATGATTAAGGCTTTTAACATGCAATTTTATCGGAAAATCTACATAGGAACCATTTGCTTTGCACACAATCACATACATTTGATAAGAAAAATACGGATTTCTACCCAAAATGCCAGAACAAAATTTTAAATATTTCTAAAGTACTTGTACATATTTCAATTCACTAGGTTTTTGTACAGTATCATGAGTTATGCTGTGAATTAACATGTAAAATAAGAAACGTATGCTAAATTAAAAACGTGTGCTAGATAATGAACTATATTTGCGTTTGTAAAAACAGTGTGTATTTCAGCTATATCGTTTGTAAATTGTCGTAATCTTTGTCACAATTAACATTGTTCACAGAATCATAGAGGTCGCCAGGGACCACCAGAGTGCGGCCCATACTCTGGATTTTGGTGTGATCGTAAATATGGTCTGCTCTGCCGTTCTGGTTGCTGGAGGATACGCCACTGTAAATGTTTTGCCTTTCAAGCTCAGCATACACTGGTGGGATAATATCATCCTCCCTCTCGCCTTCATAATTCTGGTTGTGCACAGAAGGTATGCGGACAATATTGGATTTTTTGTTATTTTTTCTAGTAGAAATTATAACAATAATTTCACGAAATTAATTTGTGTTGATACTTCATTGTAAATTAAGTGAATTTCATTGAAAATTTTTTGAAATTTCTGAAAACTTACATTTTCCAAAGAACCACACTAAGGAATATTAAAAGCACAATAAATACAGATGTAGCGGTCACACTTATTGCTACGATCATATCTGCAATATTAATTTATTGAAGTAAAATTCTTCATAAACAAATTTAAAAATCTGTTTATACCATGGTTTATTACATCCTCATTTTTTAGTTAACTAGTTAAATCAATTAAAAAATGTTAAAATAGTAATGAATATTAGTGGCTTTTATATCTGAATATTTTGAAATAAAATAAATGCAATAAAAAGTATTAAAATGCCCGAAAGAAAAAGCCATATATTAAGCCACTCATTAAATTGATAAACAAAATCAAATTTGAAAACAATGGAAACAAACTACCAATGTTTCGTCTTTTACAGCACACATACCCGGTAGTATAGTGGTCGAACAATTAAAGCTTTAAAATGTTATTATTGTTTCCTTAAACTGCTATTTTTACATTATTTAAACAATAAAATGCTTTCTTTGTTATTTTGAGGTGAAAAAATACATAACAGCGGGTTATGTAAATTTTTCTCAAATCAGATCAGTAATAACAAAGAAAGACGTTTTATTTTTATATTTATATGTTTAAATAATCAATAAATGGAATAAAAAAGATTAATTATTGTATTAATATAAATCTGTTTTCAGCCACTGATTGAAATCTATGCCTACTGTAGTTTATATGATAGGAACTAAGAAATAAAGGAGAAAATATTCAGTGGATGTAAATATATACCAATAAACCTTGTATACAAAAACTCTGTTATCATATAGTAAATGTATTGTTTATTAATTTTTCTTTTTTTAATTAATTGCTGAGTATTACAATTCAAGGATTAAGATCGTAAAATCGTTCGGTCACAGTGGAATAGTAATATTAGTTTCTTTCGCCTGGTACATTATGCTTAAAGCCAGATGGGAGCAGCGAGTAAATATCCAGGGGTAAAACCAGACTCAGCCTCAAAACTTCCTCCTTAATACTTACCATCATTGGAGTTTTTCGTCTCTATTTCTTTTGTAATTGATCCTACAAAAGGAAAAAAACTCTTTACACAAAAAGTTTGATTTCTTTTGAATCCTTTTTTATTTATTTTTTAGGAAATATATACCTTTTATGCAGAGCGATTGCAATGTCGTATCACAGAGTATCTCCTGCAAGGAAGTCACATTTCCTGTTCTATTCAGAGCAAGACACCCAAACAACGCCACGCTGTTTGACCCTACCAATACGAAAAATTAAACGTGAATTGGTACTAAACGAGTCGATTAATGCAGCTTCAAATTGGAAATAAATTTTATGTACACCTTCTGGCTACCTTCAGTCCATTGCCTGATACTTCTTCGTGCAATTCCAGTCCACCAGGACCCTCCTGAAGCGATGTTTTCGTAATTCACAGTAAAGCTTGACAGAACCACGCCAGAGCAATTATTTACTGCTGATTCCCACGAAGAACTAGAATTACTAATTCCATCACCTATTGAGGTATGTTAGCGTTTTATTGCATTGTGAGACAATTTCACAGGAAATATTACATGGCATAAATGAAGTTCAATATACTAGTACTTACAACTTAATAACAAAAAAATTAATTCTTAGAATAGAAATAAAGCATGTATAGTAATCAAAGTACTCAGAAGTAAAGAGAGCCGGGCTCATTTACAGAGTAGAATGAATTTCTTACACGAATCACGTTTATATTCTGATGAAAAAATTATTTTAAAACTATCAATATAAATGATAAGACACTGACAGTGAGTTTTTCAATCCTAATACCACGGTCCGATTTTGTCAGAATCAAAATTAATCTGGTACCGCAGCTGAATGTAAACAAACAGGCCAGCCTGGTTCCCTCTCCTGTTTTACCTCGTATGCGTAGAGAACTACGATAACACTGATTATCAAAAATCCTTACGCTAATGAACTATGTTCTTTGACTTCGGACTGAAGTTTTCAAAGTCATTACTACTAATGTTTATTTATATATATAAAAATTCGTTTTATTTTTGTTGCTTTATTGAGCGTTTGTATTATCTCAAAAGCGGTTGAGAGTATAGAACTATATTTTTGCACGTAACTTTAAAATGGCGACTATGAGGTCAACATCCTGCCTTGAACAGGATCACATAAGCCGGCAATTGCTCTTTGAGCAATAAGCCCGGCTAAAAATAATTTAAGAAATGCAGCTATCTCAGGGACTGAAATACTAACTACTAGTATTAGTATATAGGTCCTTGGCTATCTCGTTTATGAAAATGACACATAAGTTGACTAAAGTGTTCATGCATTGCTCTGATTTGTTTATCGAAATCAAATGTTGAACTTATCAATAAATAAAAAAAACAAGCTAATTCAGAAAATCTGTGTCCCCCGCTTAGGGAAAAAGTAAACCATGCGCAGTTCGGGGTAGGGGGTGCGGTCGTATTCCCCTTACTGAGTTTGTAGAATTATTAAATGTATACATTTATACTGAAGCAAATAAAATATGCCAATATGGATGTAAAGATTTGATTGCTTATTCTCTATGATGTGTATAGAAGATTCTTTTTTATACGGAAATTTTATCACACTATAATGAGGATTTTATGAATTTGTTCAAGCCAGACCTCATAAATTTCATTTCACATGCTGAATACTATCATTTAGTAAAAAAAAGTATTTCGGGAAAAAAAAGAAAAAGGAACGTCCGAGAATCGAACCCTGGACCTCTCATACATGTAACGAGAGACATACCACTAGACCACGGAACTGCTTGTTACTTGTGGGAATTATTTGCAAACATAAAGTCACATACCTGTATATACTCGCGTTCGATAATGTCTAAATTTTACACAACTAACTGAAATCCCGCGCAAGCGCGGAAAAAAATCATTTTATTTTTTACTGCTAACAGCTAGAACTATTTTCTAACAAGAGGCCCATGGGTCACATCGCTCACCTGAGTAACTTGGGTGATGCAGATTTTTACCAGATTCCCCCTCTTGCTATACCTATCATGCCCAACAACCCCGTTCCCTTTTTTTATTTGAATACTTTAGAATCTACACTACCCAAGGATGCTTCCACATAAGTTTCAGCTTTCCTGGCCCAGTGGTTCTTGAGAAGAAGATTTTTAAAGATTTGTTCTATATATTTCTATGTAAAACTTGGATTCCCTATTGTCCATTCTACCCCCGGGGGTCATGATTTTAACAATTTAATATCTACACTACCCAAGGATGCTTCCATATAAGTTTCAGCTTTCCTGGCCCAGTAGTTCTTGAGAAGAAGATTTTTAAAGATTTGTTCTATATATTTCTATGTAAAACTTGGATTTCCTATTGTGGCCCCGCCCTACCCCCGGGGGTCATGATTTTAAGAATTTAATATCTACACTACCATATGAGTTTCAGCTTTTGAGGACCAGTGGTTCTTGAGAAGAAGATTTTTAAAGATTTGTTCTATATATTTCTATGTAAAACTTGGATTCCCTATTGTGGCCCCGCCCTACCCCCGGGGGTCATGATTTTAACAATTTCATATCTACACTACCAGAGGATGCTTCCATATAAGTTTCAGCTTCCCTGGCCCAGTGGTTTCCAAGAAGAAGATTTTTAAAGATTTATTCTATATATTTCTATGTAAAACTTGGATTCCCTATTGTGGCCCCGCCCTACCCCGGGGGGTCATGATTTTAACAATTTCATATCTACACTACCCAAGGATGCTCCCACATAAGTTTCAGCTTTCCTGGCCCAGTGGTTCTTGAGAAGAAGATTTTTAAAGATTTGTTCTATATATTTCTATGCAAAACTTGGATTCCCTATTGTGGCCCCACCCTACCCCTGGGGGTCATGATTTTAACAATTTAATATCTACACTACCCAAAGATGCTTCCACAAAAGTTTCAGCTTCCCTGGCCCAGTGGTTCGTGAGAAGAAGATTTTTTAAAGACTTGTACTATATATTTCTATGTAAAACTTGGATTTCCTATTGTGGTCCCGCCCTACCCCCGGGGGTCATGATTTTAACAATTTAATATCTACACTACCCAAGGATGCTTCCATATAAGTTTCAGCTTTCCTGGCCCAGTGGTTCTTGAGAAGAAGATTTTTAAGTATTTGTTCTATATATTTCTATGTAAAACTTGGATTTCCTATTGTGGCCCCGCCCTACCCCCGGGGGGTCATGATTTTAACAATTTAATATCTACACTACCCAAGGATGCTTCCACATAAGTTTCAGCTTTCCTGGCCCAGTGGTTTCCAAGAAGAAGATTTTTAAAGATTTGTTCTATATATTTCTATGTAAAACTTGGATTCCCTATTGTGGCCCCAACCTACCCCCCGGGGGTCACTATTTTAAGAATTTAATATCAACACTACCCAAGGATGCTCCCACATAAGTTTCAGCTTTCCTGGCCCAGTGGTTCTTGAGAAGAAGATTTTTTAGTGGCCCCACCCTATTTTTGTCTTTTCTTGATTATCTCCCCTTGTAAGGGGACTTGGCCCTTCATTTTAACAATTTAAACTCCCCTTTACCCAAGGATGCTTTGTACCAAGTTTGGTTAAAATTGGCCCATTGGTTCTTGAGAAGAAGTCGAAAATGTGAAAAGTTTACAGACGGACGGACGGACAGCTAGACGGACGGACGACGGACAAAATGTGATCAGAAAAGCTCACTTGAGCCTTCCGCTCAGGTGAGCTAAAAACTATCTTAGATTTATTACACAGGAATAGGCCTACAGCATGACGAAATATTTCAAAGTTCCACAATTAGTTTAAGAGGAGAAAATAAATGATAATTAGAAATATTTACATTTGCTGTGTTTTTCTAGTAAGCCAACTGTGAAATTGATTTGAAAACCATTTTCGTGTATACTCACGCGTAGAAATATACACGGAGAAACATGCGCTAACGTGGCGTCACAATGAGGCTACAGCGGCGTTAGTAAAAGTAAAACGATATAGAGCACCGAGAAATTAAATATTGAGCATATTTTTGGTGCTTCCAAAAACATGAAGTGTAAATATAAGGAATGTTTTTAAGTTTAGTGTGAATTATTGGTGTGTGAATCACACAGACTTGCACGTAGGCATATATTTCATGAAGCGCTAGCGCGCTTCATGAAATATGCCTACGTGACAAGTCTGTGTGATTCACACACCAATAACTCATACAAAATTTAAAAATATTCCTTAGATACACTCTCTTTTGTTGTTTTCCTTTACTTCTACAAATATAATTTTCATCAAAGGCCTCTTTTTCTTACATGTTATAAAGAAACTTTATTTTGTACATGCAGGGATCTAGAGGGTGTCCTCCGGACCCCCCCCCCCCCCCCCCCCCCCGGAAAAACAACATCGAAAGTATTAACATCACCGGATGTTAAAAATTTATACATTTCCTGTTTATTCATATATAGGATAGACTTAGTTAGAAGTCCCTTCTATTGTATACATTTAGGTAATATCTTTACATTGAATAAAGTTAAACTCCATATTACACAGATAAAAGGTCTCCATGCATTTATTTCAAAGATCGTGAAAAAGGAGGGTTGTCATGGCGTCTACCATATACATTCGAGGTCGTTTTTCCGCTAGTCAGAAAGGCCCGAGAAGTTGCGATTGATGATTAACAATCGCCTCGATTTTCCTTTTTAAATCGGGTTCGATGCCACCTGACTTTCTAGAACTCTCAATAAATAGCGAGATCGGACATAAACGGAAAGGATTTGCACATTTTGTTTTTTAATCAATGATCAGAGCTTATTTCTTTCATATCACTTAAATCAAGTTTTGATTGAATAATTCATTAATGATGTTTTATGAAATAAATCGCTTGCTTGTCGTCATTTTTTTAAATGCTTAGATCCGCCACCACTTTACTCTCTTTAGTGCTATTTCGAGGCTGTTAACCGAAAGTGAAAGTAGACTTTTAATTAAATTTACGATAATTACTATGCAAGTGAAATCTGAATATAGTTTACGGACATCATCTTATACCTAGTGTATTCCTACAGGCTTGAGTAAGAACTCTTGTGCAGTCGTTTCAGAGTTTATTTGCAAAATTTGTTAATTTATAAGTATAGATGCATGGTGTCTAATTTAACTTTTATCATAGACCTAGTTTTAGGTCTATGCTTTTATTAAACAGTTCTAATAGATGTAATAAGAATATAAAGTCCTCCAGATGAAGCGGTGTGGTGGTATGTCTCTCGCTTTCTATGTGTGAGGGGACGGGTTCGTATCCCAGATGATCCAGAAATACCCCCCCCCCCCTTTTTTTTTTTACTAAATGATAGTATTCAGCATGTGAAATGAAAAATTTATGAGGTCTGGCTTGTACAAACTCATAAAATCATCATTACATGTGATAAATATTCCATATAAAAAGAATCTTCTATACACATCATAGAGAATAAGCAATCAAATTTTTATATCCATATTGGCATATTTTATTTGCTTCAGTATATACATGTATACATTTAATAATTCTACAAATTCAGTCAGGGTGATCCGACCCCCCTCCCCCCGAACTGATGGTTTACTGACTTTTTCCGTAAGCGGGGGACACAAATTTTCTGAATTAGCTTGTTCTTTCAAGCAAGATAAGGGACAGATTATTTATTCATTTCTTCACAGAAAAAAAAACATTGGCAAACACAATAAGTAAATGAATAAATAATGAATATAGGAAATGAGTGAAAACTGCCAAACTTTAACTCTATGTTGTGAAGGGGAGGGGGAGTGGGTAGTACCACCAGACAAGGACATATCTTATTTCTTTTCTTGACAGTTGAGGACATATTATTTATTTTCAACATTAATTTTTGAGAACCCATTATTTATTGCCAAAATTTTCCAGCTGCCCTCATCCTCAATTGTCTTGAAAATTTCTACAAGACATTTGCAATTTTTTTTAAATTTGTTCCACACACATGGTAAATATTACGTATACTGCATCATTTTATGATAAAATTCCATTTTCAAAAGCACATACTATATAATTTTATTCACTAATACGGTAATGTGGTCCTGTATAAATAATATTTACTGACAGATAAAAATGAGTGTAGAAAATAAAATGAAATATACATTCATGAATAGCTTTCACAGAAAAATTATAAATAATTGATTTTTTAAAATTATGATTTCATATGAAGATGTGCAGTTAATCCAGTTAATTTTCAGAATAAGGTGATACCTGCAGTATTTCTCAAGGAGAATGTTCAAAAGCAATGAAATGTTAGTAAACAGAAATCAGGGTTGTTTTATGAATTGGAATTTACATGCAATTAATTTTGGTCTCGTGTTGTATTAAGCATTACTTTTGAATGAAAAACATTCTGATTTATAATTATAATAATTTTATGAAATGAATGCATTTCTGTACTATCAGATATTTTCCCAAGAGCGAGTCTCGATTGAGGTTATATCAAAATATCATCATAGAGGTAAAGCAATATTGAAAAGAACATTTTCAAGATTTTAATTTTGACAATAATTAAAAGAGCTTCGTTGAACAAGCAATAAAAAGTATTTTCCTTTTTTTAAAACAAAACTGCATTTTAAATAGTTACTTACAAAGTGGAGGAAGTCTTGTTTTACAATCTAACACTTCATGGAAATCTTCTGCTTTATTTGTGAAAGCCACGCAATCACCTCTAATACTTCCTGCAAAAAAAACTGATATGACCAACTACTGTTTTTGAAATGTAAAACAATTTCTAGTTTACTCTTTATCGCTATTTTAAAACCAATTTTTTTCTTAAAACTGACAACACATTTTGTAAAATACTAATACTTAAGGTCCAGATCTAGTATTTGAAAGGTGCCTACAGATTTATCAAATTTGAGAAATAAATTCCTTTATTGATGCTTTACAACTTTAGCTTGGTCAAATAAGGTGTTTCGGGGCATAATTTGTAGGTAAACAAGATGGAAAAACTGTATTTTAAACTGTCATCTTCAATGAAAAAATTAAGAAAACCAGTCATGAGTATGGGAGTTTTCTTCATATTCGACGAAGAAAATGTATCCAGATTGCCTACAGTCTCTCAGAAAACGGTAATTAGTATGTTCATGGCCTCTTCTTTAAATCAATATCAAATTTAATATAGGTATCCGGTTTACTTTTCATATGATTTCAAATTGAAACACAATGCCCCATGACGTATTTTATATTATAAAATTTGTCAAAATAAGACGTAAACAACAAACAAAATGTATGGATTGCATTAGAATCGGAATAACTGATTTTTAATTTGGTATTTGCGACCGTTAATGCTGATTTAACGGTCGCAAACATCCGTTTTACCGGCTCCGCTTACGCGTCGCCGGTAAAACTCTGCTTGCGACCGTTAAATCAGCATTAACGGTCGCAAATACCAGTAAAACTCTGTTTGCGACCGTTAAATCAGCATTAACGGTCGAAAATACCAAATTAGAAGATGGTTATTCCTTAATTTACATACTGAAGTAATTAATTTGTGACTTGATAAATTTGAACTTGAGACCCAGGGGAAGGGGAGTTTGATCATTTAATTTTTTTAAATATAAAGATCAAGTATGAATCCCCTTTTAACCAAAGAATTTACTACATAATGGTTTTTATTAGGTATCTTATTATCCTTATACACAATATATTTGCCTATGGAATGTAAATTTCATTTCGACTCAATTTTTTAAGACAAGCTACTAGATGAAGAATGTAATTAATTTGTTTATTATAAAATATTGATAAGAAAATAGGTACTTAATTTAAGTTTATGAGAAACTTCATCCTTTAACATAGGATAATAGCATTCTCTTTCGCAGGAAAATGACCAGACTCAATAGGTTTTATTAAAAAGCATAATTTATTTTGATTTAAAATTAAAATATATATCATTCATTTTATTTCATTATTAATACCTACCCTTTATTTTTGATGGATTTCTATTAATCACAAAGTAATGGAAAACCCTTTGTAAATTACCGCGCTGGCCACTACTGGGAGGTGAGAGAAAGCAATAGCACGTTTGATCCTGACAAATTTAAAGTACACCAAATAAGTAAATTCTGTGCTAAAATTTAACAGAATATTATGACTTATACATGTAACTATATTAAACAGCCATGCATAACTCACCACTATCGCAAAGTTTCCAGAATCTCTGCATTTTAAGTAACAATCAAGGATACTATCAATAGAATTATATAGAGAAGTTCCATTGAGGCCCGTAACATTCAAAGAACAGTTACCTGTGAAATTATACGACAACGGTTATTACTCAGTTGATCATAAATCACTTACGAAAAGTCAGACGAGAAACTTATAACATTATTTAGCAGGATTATCAAAATATTTATTTAACCATTTAAGATATCAAAAAATTTATAAAACATTTTCGATAAATTTTGTCTATATATATATGCAAATTAACAATACCATGAAATTCAAACCAGGCTGATTTGACTATTCCTCCTATCCAGTATACACCGTCCGACAATGTCCTAGGAATGTTGATCTTGTCTATGCTGACATCTCCTGTGTTGTTTGATCCAAATAGGAGACAATGATCTGCAGCTTCTGGCCATGTTCTGGTGACTAAGGAGACTGCAATACCAATTAAAAACATCAACATGGATACTGTCACTAACAAACAATCAATCAATATACACACTAAAAATATATCCCTTCCAGTGTACAAATATAGACAGGATATTTTTATTGACAAAATATTCTAAAGGTTTCTTCCACTGTCAACAATCCTCACTGCCTTTGACCATGAATTCAGAATGCTTCTACCAAACATCCATCCAACATCGCTACAGTAGTATGAACCTGATTTAAGTTACTTTCAGTAATATAACAGTTTTCATTTGCTTTCTGTTACTTGTGTACAGTTGCCATTTCTGCTTGTGTTATAGTGAGTTAAACGTTAAACGGAATATTTTTTTAAAATCAAAAATAATACATATATTGGTCTAGGAGATATAGCTATTAGAAAATTTACGCTATTGTAGTTCAGTGGAGTTAATATAAGTCAGCACACACTGTGATAGAAAGATACTCTCTGAAATTGTATTTGGATACAAAAACGAAACATTCTTTATAGAGCATGTTCGGATTGCAAGAAATATATACTTAAGTAGAACACTAGTAAACTTGGAAATTTTCTTGGAGAGCTTTCGTGCTTAGAATGTGATCTCCTTTCGAAACTAGTTTTAACCATACGATTGTTTTAACACATTATTTACAACCAAACTAACAAAACAGTTCAGCTTCGTAAGAGGCTTTCGGAAATACTGATTTAAATACTTTCTTCAGACGTATAGCCAGTACCATTTCCACCAAAAATTGTTCGAAAGAACAATGCTAAAAACATTAATTTGTTCTACTTCAATTCTTTTTGAAATTATTTAAATTCACTCTAACCCATACGTCGATCCCTGACCTCAAGTTTCTTCATTCAGCTGTACAATATGGCCTCAATTCGGTGGAATATCCACCCTTGTCCTAAGTCGATAAAAGAGTAGCAACCGTTACTTCGCCAAGCGCTCGGTAGTTGTAAGTGAGTGTTGCGGGTCTTTTGGAGGAGACCTTTAAAACTGAGTACCTGTGTCACTGTATAGGCTTTGGGACGAAAAAAAAAACCCACGAAGTTCAATGGCCCTGAGTGCCGTGTAAAGGTCTGAATTTGAAGCCCTTCATCGCTACATGGTGACGTTCTACACGAGTGAAACAATTTCGGACAGGACGTAAAACAACAATTAATCATTTGGATTTAATATCTGACAAAGTAAAAAAAAATATACTGTATTAACAAGTTAATTGATAACCTCTTATAAGTTATAACGTTTTAATCTCGTTATGCATGTAACGAGTTAACTATATCACTGTAAAGAGGGCAACTAGTTTTGATTAGTTAGTAATAGGTGAATTAAAAAAAACGATCAAAAGCATACTTATCAACCCACACAAAAATACAGGCATTGCAAATAGATTTCTATGTCGCAACATATGTTTTTAGATAGTGTTATCTCGATGATATTTCAATTAACAATATAGATTTGCACAAAAAAATTATGCTAAAATTGTCAGGAGAGAAACACCTTTTTGTGGCATCTTGAAATGTCAATATTTTTTTTATCAATTCAGAGGTGTTTATATCTTTCTGTGATTAATGCTAAAGATAATCATAGTAAAAAATGTTATGAAATTCATGTAATTTCTCCTCAACTTCACCGAAACAACAGAACAAGTTCTATGGTAATCTTCACTTCACAATTTTACTTTACAGGCCCATATAAGGAGTGCAACAAATTTGTGAGAATTATAACTCATCAAATAAGAATAAAAATAAAGAAAACTGAAGATTTGGATTTTTCTAGTGGGTTGCTGTGTTTGTCCTGTAAAGAAAAATATGCTATAAAATATATTTTATCTTCTAGATATATATTTAAGCTAGTTTTTATGTTTTAGTTTTTTCTGGAATAATTCCAGAAATAAATCGAATTTTCAATACTTCATGTGTTTTAAATATGAAGTATTGGACTATATACAGACGGACGTCGACATATCCCAGGTTATCGACATATCCTGTGTCCAGATACCGAAGTTTACCTGTATATTGCACAATTTCTTTATCACTTGATGTTGCTTTATTAATTTTTGTGGTATATGGTTATAATATTGGAGTCAGAAGTGCAACAAAACTGCGTTTTAATTACCATTACTTTTACTTGTTTTAACTATCTTTGCTAGAAAATAAGTTGAAACAGTGATGTAGTGATAGCTAATTTATGTTCAAAACACTATGTCTATCAACAATTTACAGAAATTATAAAATCAATTCAGGCAATAGTTTAAATCATTTTACATATATTCTTAAATACAATGTATACATATTACACTTTGCGAGTAAACATTTTTAAGGTCTTCAAAATATGAAAAACTTGCCGTAAACAATGAAAAATATCAAAATGATAACTCGTAATGGGTTATTATGTGTTTTAAATTTTACAACATTGTTAAATGAAATACATATCAGGTATCAGGAGTGCAACACTAAAATTTTAATAGGGTCACTTAAAAAAATCTAGTATTTTTAGCTCAAGTGAGCTTTTCTGATCAAAATTTGTCCGTTGTATGTTGTCGTCGTTGTCGTCGTCGTAAACCTATCATATTTTCATCTTCTTCTCAAGAACCACTTAGCCAATTTTAACCAAACTTGCCACAAAGTATCCTTAGGTAAAGGGGATTCAACTTTGTTCAAATGAAGGGCCACACCCTCTTCCATGGGGAGATAATTATAAATTAGTGAAAAATTAATGGCATTTTTAAAAAATCTTCTTCTCAAGAACTACTGGGCCAAGAAAGATGAAACTCATGTGGAAGAATCCTCAGGTAGTGTAGATTCAAGTTTGTTCAAATCATAACCCACGGGGGTAGGGTGGGCCCAAAATGGCCGATCAAAGTTTTTCATAGGAGTACTGTGGTATATAGGGAAAATCTTGAAAAATCTACTTCTCAAGAACTACTGGGCCAGAAAAAATGAAACTCATGTGGAATCATTTTCATGTAATGTAGATTCAAATTTGTTCAAATCATGACCCCTGGAGGTAGGGTGGGGCTACATTTTTTAAATAGGAGTATATAGGGAAAATCTTTAAAAATCTTCTCAAGAACCTCTGGGCCAGGAAAGATGAAACTCACGTGGAATCATCCTCATGTAGTGTAGATTCAAGTTTGTTCAAATCATGACCCCCAGGGGTAGGGTGGGGCCAATATGGCCGATCAAAGTTTTACATAGAAATATATAGGAACAACCTTAAAAAATCTTCTTCTCAAGAACCACTGGGCCAGGAAAGATGAAACTCATGTAACATTACGACATTTAACTCTGGACACGACATAGTCCAGACTTTTTACTGCCATTTCTAATTATGATATCCAAAATATTTTCATATCACTTAGTGGGATTTCTTAGCAGTATTCAATGGTCTTATGTTGGACTCAAGGACATCTCCACTTCTAAATTAAAGATATGAAGTTCTAAAACTCAGAATCTTATTGGAGAATGATGGGATTTTCAGTCCTATCAACTATCCCACCATTTTATTGCTTCATATTTTTTTTCATATTAAAATTTTTCAAAATTGGAATTGAAAAATTAATGTGAAATAACAAAAAAGCCAAATTTTTGTCAAATATATAATAGAAGAGAAGGTCAAAATCTAGATTTGATCATTAATACCCCTGTTACCATTTTGAAGCATAAAAAACTATTATTTTTTGTAAATATGTACATGTATTTTAGAAAGTCTGTTGTGTAATAATTTCTTGTTATTGTGTATTTTAGAAAGTTATTTAAGGTGTAATGATATTTTCTTTTTTCAAAAGAAATTCTACTAAACAAAATTTCTGAAACACTTAATTTCATTTTACTATTCTATTGCCACTTCAGGATTTTAAAAATAGAATGCATATGCAATATGGTGTTATTAGTGAAAAATATGTTAAAATTAGTTGAATTTCTCCAAAAAAAAAAACGTCAGTTTTGGTGGTCTTTTTTTTCACCCGTATCTCATAAAACAGAGTTAGTCATCACGTTAAAAAGTTGTTCGTATATCGTTATATAACGACCTACATACTTATATTCGAACTCAATATTATAACGAGGTACTGTATCGTAATAACTCGTTACAATATTTTTCTCAAATAATAAGTCTTTCCTGCTTTGTTACGGATTTCCTTTTTCATAAGCATTTGGCAAATTTCATTTCAAGGAAAACGGATTTCAGAATATAACAAAAATATGATAGACCCAGAAAGAATTAATTTGTGAATTTGTGAGAATGCAAAAATGAAGAAAAATGTGATACACATATAAATAATAAGGTAGATAAGTATATTGTAACTATGTTGACCTCATATTTAATTCAAAATCAAACTTAAAAACTACAGTTATAACCACTTCAGTTTAAAGTCTTTTTTTTTAACTTCCGATCCTTCTATCTCATAATCAATCTATGCATGGTTTGATGTGTAGTCCTAGTAATACTTCCTGTTATATATATATTTATCAGCATCATCCGATCGTGTCTCAATGATTAGTGTTTCTAATGAATACTAGATACAAAGAGAATGCTATTGGAGTTTTATGAAGAGACTTACTTTTACATTTGACAGCTGACATTTACATATTAGTGAATGGAGTTTGTCTATGTCTAATTTGTAAAAGTCAGTCGTCAATTGTAGAAGTAAGTCTCTTCATAAAACTCCATTACTTGATGTTATGGAAGAAAAAAACAAAGTTGTACCATTCAATTACTTCCAGTATTTGATCAGAAAAAAGAAAACGAAGAAAGGGAAATAAAACAGTATTGCTTTACAACCTGTTCTCATTACGACTTTTTTTTTTTTTTTTGTTGTTGTTGTTAAATTCAAACTGATATAATAGTATTGTTTCAAATACAAGGGTAAATTTGAGGAAAAATAATAAACAGAGCTTACCTTCTATTGTAGCATGTGTTAATTCAAATGATTCCACCAGAATAATTACTATTTTGATGCAAGTGGAAAAACGACAAAACATGTTTCCTCTAGAAATACTGAAATTGCATATGAGGTAAAGATCCCTTCGATAATTTATGTCAAAGGTTTCATCACAAACAAGTCACATCAACCTTTTTTTTAATATATGATACAGAGATGTGATTTTGATAAAAGTTTTGTTATTAGCTTCCTTATAGGAAAACCCTCCACTTTAAAAGAGACATCGTGATACATGGAAGTAGACAACGGATGTCTGTTGACTTCTTATATCATCTTAGTTACAATCAAACGAAATGACTACAGCTTTTCCATACTTCAACATTAAACATTATATGTAATTATGTTCCACTATCACATGCTAATGATGTTTATGTTTTCTAACTTATTCGCTACTCAAGAACTTGCTATGAGTACGATCAATCTTAAAAGCTTTTGTTCTATGCTACTCGCTGAAAAATTGATGTTACAGGAATTTCAAGAACCTCAATTAAAGTCGGTATTTCTTTAATTCTACAGTTGTTAAATGACATCGTTGGGAGAGGACTATCTAAGTTTTTGGAACTTGTGTCCAATCCCTTTGACATATTGTCAATAAAATATGTTCAAAACAAAAACATTGTTAGCCTATAACCTATGTAGCCTATTATTGCGTCGCATTTTGGCTAACGTATGTAAAATTTATTATTAGGTCTCTCTTTTTATATTGAAATTGACTATAGAAAGTTTCGTCTACTTGATAAATTCATTAGACTCACGGCGAGTGTGACCGGTAAACAGGGATGTCTACTCCTCCTAGGGACCTGATCCCCCTCTTGACAATCCCTGTGGTCGGTATTTTATGTTCTCTTCCTTTGTTTGTATTCTTTATAGTTTTATTTTGCGCAGATACTATGCACCTGTACATGAATTAGTGTCTGTCCGGAGAATCCGATGACATTGGTGAATCCCCAGTTTTAATTCGGATTTCAAGTGTTGATTTCCCTGAAGTGTGAGAGGGGTCGTACATGTATATACTTAAGTAATATTAATAGATACTCACAATCGTCAAATAGCGTATTCTCTCCCTCTCTCTCTGATTTCTCTCTCTCTCTTTCTCTCACTCTGATCTCTTTCTCCTTTCTTTCTCTCTCTCTTATCTTTGCTAAGTGGTCAGATTCTCCGTAAGAAGATTGATTCTTACTAGTTAAGTTTTAATTTTAGGCGATCAAAGTTTTACATTTCCCCAGGGAAAATCTTTAAATATCTTCTCAAGAACAGCAAAACCATCATTGGAGATCTGTAAGCATCTTCGGGTAGTGTTATTGGATGGGAGTTAATTGGTTATTCATTAAATTTATTTGACATTTTTGAACATCTCTACTCCTGCACGTTTAAAAGGAAATTTGTTTTAATATTGTAATAAATAGTTGAATACCCAATCCTCTATCGAAATGTTAAATTTGTGCCCCCTGGCTCGTGGTTCAAGCCTAAGGATGGAACAATGATGGACATATTGTTTTGGAACTACCACATGAAAATGTAGAGTCTCTCTTTAAGCCAATAAGTTATGTATATTAATGTGATTGGACTTTTTAACTTAGATTAGACTTAGCGTAGTCATGGAATTCGATCAAACAATATTAACAAAATGTATATGATGTCTCTTTTGATTTATATTTGCCTTACGTCGATAAACAGACTTTCACCATTTTTGCATGAAACGTTTCTTGCTTCCCTTTCAATTTTTGAGTGGACATTTAAAGAAGTTAAAGCAAGTTCATGCTTAGATTCTTCAATTGCAGAATACAGGTTGGTGTATATCATTATATATGTTGTCCAGTCGAGGCTTTTTAAGCTATATAGCGTGCGTCAGAGGATAATTCTGATTTAACCAGTTGGTTCCTTAAACCTCACTCTGCCATCAAAGGATAAATACTGTTAACATTGGAGAAAAGTTTTAATCATAAAGAAGTTCAGATTTGCATTTCACAATATTTAAGGATGAAGTCTACACCATGCATTTCCTTCAAATTTACCCAAACTTTTCAATTATGAACAAACCTTACAATATTTAGATACTGAACATCTAAGCCAAAATCCTCTCAAGTGTCAACAGCCCCGCTGGACGAGTCATTTTTCGTGATGTTAATATTGTTGAAAATGAATATCTTAAAAAATCTTAATCCGTTTCTTTCGATTGACAACAGAACTTCATTTCTTTTATGAATTTTATCAAGATTATGCCAGATTTAAGGCTAAATGAGAAAGGAAAGACCTGAACATTTCTTAAAGAATGAATTAAATGTAATTTAGTGCGTTGTTGACAAAGCGAAAAAAATAAAACTCAATTGCAAAACTATTTATTTCACTGTTTGCTGCACTAAGTCAAAGATGATAAAAGTATTGGACAGACTACGTGAACAATATGTTACGATTCCATCATAAAATGCTTGTAACAATGTCGTCTTTATTTGTAAAGCTCATAATAAAAACTGTATTTTAGAAAAAGTTGGTTTTAATCATATGTCTGAAATCAAACTTATACTAACAGTTCACTTTCTACATGGATGTAATGACAATGTCGATAATGTTGGAAATCTTTCCAGTCCACAGTGTAACAATGTACATGTGATGGGACTTTTTAACCATACACAGAGACCTAGCTAAGAGTAGTTTTGGGCATCGGTCTTACGATGAACCTATAATACACTATGTCTCTTTTAATTCATTACTACCTTATAAAATGAACAATTATGTCTACATCATATTCGCACCAAACTTTACTCTGTCCCTTTGAAACTTTTAAATAGTCTTCTTGAAAAGGTCAAGGAAAGCCCATTTTTGGATTCCTCGACACCAGAATATAGGCTCGGACCTGTGATTATGGATATTGTAAATCATAGGCCTTTAAAACCGGCACGTTTTACTGAAGAAAATGCAGCTAAAACAATCCGCCTTTTCCTTAAACTTCAATATGCCAACAAAGGAATTGACGCGGTTAATATAAGTAATATCCTTAATCACAAAAGGGTCCAGGCTTGCATGCCACCATATTACAAGTTAAAGACTACACCTTGCATTTCCTACAGATATACATCGACTATTGCTTCCAAATTTTTTAATTACAAGAAAACTTTACAGGGCCAGGATATCGAATATCTGAAACATAATCCTGCATCGTGTTCATGTTCTTCTTCACACTATAACTATAGTCCTCCTGGACACGTTATTACAGGTGACGTAAATATATTTAATAATGTTAATCTTAGACCAATCTTAATTTTAAAAGGTCCTATAGAAATATAAGAAACCCTGATCCTTCAACTGGTATAAATATTATGGATTCTGTAGAAGATTACGCCAGATGATGGGACAGATATGAAAAAGAAGACGTTGACACTTTGTCAGAATGGATTAAATGTATCAGATCTATGTTACAATCTCGTATTAAAAAATGGAGAGGCAATATAAAAACCATATATCCTTCTGTATTCAACAATCAAGAAGTTAAAAAAACAATTAGATACTAGTAGATTATATTTATCAGTACGTACTATTCCCTGCTGACAAAGTAGGTAACACCATTGTCTTCGTTTGAAGTTATTTTAGAAGAACTTGGATTTATTTCTCCAAGTGATAATCCAACTTATACTCATATTTCCCTTTCTAAGGAAAAAATTCTTCAAAATCATATGTCAGTTTTGAATATTTTCAAGATCTCAAAGAACCAAAATGAATTTGAACTATCATATCTATATTGGATTCTGAAACTTTATAAAAATCCTTACAAAGATACATAGCGGGTTCCAGTACATGCTCAACCAAGCCTCTTTCTTTACAGTACTCCTCACTAAGAAATTAACAGTAGTGGAGGAGAAACTTCAAGAGTACTGTGCAACAATATATCAAGTAGTGGTGTAAATCCGATTTAGATCCATAAAATTACAAGGAACTGTTGGACAATTTGAAATCATAAGAATTTAGCATAATCAACAGCTAAAACTTTGGACTTTTCAACTTTATACACAACCATTCCACACAATAAATTAAAGATTGACAGCTGTTTTTTGAATAAAAATGGAACTCGTAAATTTACCTAGCTTGTCATTGGTCATTTGCAAAAATATTTTGTTAAAAAACATTCTGATTGTACACACAAGTACTCTGAAGTTAAATCAAAAAGATGCCTGAGTTTCTATTTGACAATATATCTGTGTTTATTTCCCGATCATGACCGATGCACACGGCGGTTGTGAGCGGCTCACTCCTCCATGGCACCTGATCCCACCATGTTTGCTCTGCTCCTATTTTGTATTGTTTTATGGACTTTGATATTGAATACTGTTCGTATCCATATCCTTCTTTGAAAACCAGATCTTCCAGCAATCTATTGGAATTTTCGTGGGTACCAATTGCGCTCAGTTGTTAGCAAACCTATTTTTGTATTCATATGAAGCAGAATTTGTCCAAAATTTTATGAGTAAAAAGAATGAAACATTTGTTGAGGCTATAACTCGACATTTAGATACTAGAATATCGACGACGTATAATCAATTAAAAATGTTAGCATCTACTCTTATGTCGATGCTATATTCTATGTCCCGGTGAGCTTGAAATAACAGATACCATAGAGTTTGACACATCTGTTCATATTTGGATATTTTACTTAAAAGGACGTTAATGGCAATCCAACAACCAAGCTCTATGATAAACGTAATGGCTTTAACTTTACAATCGTCAACTTCCCTTTTTTAATATGCGACAATATTTCCATTTCTGTTTTTTTCTCTGTGATAACTCTTTGAAAGTAACAATACTAACTTCTATTCGGAATGTAAATTAGGTCGATAGGCCAGGTGCTGATGAGTCTAATATGCATGCAAAAGATGCGCATCTGTCCCTGTGTCTGACCATAAATCTGTTTCATATTTGAATATTTTACTTTGTGTGTGACGTTAATGGTGATCCAACAAAAATTGATATTGATAAACGGGATTAGTTTAATTTAAATCTACTTCCCTACATTTTAAATAGTCATCACCTGCTTACAAGTTTTATCTCTCAATCAATGGAAACGTAAGGAATCACTGTCTAGTTAGTATAATTTCTAAAACGAGGTCAATTTTTTGACAAACAAGTTGATGAAACAAGAATATCAGCAGTCTCATTTAAAAGTCATCATTTTGTAAGTTCTATGGTCGATACAATGACCTTGTTAGCAAATATTATTTATCATTGAGTCAAATGCTGACTGAAGATTTTCATACTAATTGTTAGTTCATTATTTTTACACTGAATTGACGGAGAATTTTTCCGTTATTTCCTGATCATGATAAGGAGCACACGCGGGTGTGACCATTCGGCACTCCTACATAGCACCTGATCCCACCTCTGATGTATTGGAGGTCTGTGTTTGCTATGTTCCTATTTTTTATTGTTTTATAGACTTTAAATCTTGAATATTATTCCTTATCTCCTTATGTATCATTCTTTAAGACGTCAATTAGGTCTTTTATATTTTTAATATTCCAGTCAACCAAGGTGAGTTGAATACGGTCTACCCTACATGTGCTGGATTCGTAATCTTCATAAAAGTCAGGAAAATAGCTGGGTCCAGCAAATGCTCAACCAAGTCCTTCTCCTTAACCCTTACCAAATCTAAATTTTAAACTGGTAAAGGAGAAACTCCAGGAGCACTGTGCTACAGCATAGTTTACAAGTTATGTAAAACAGATGTAGATTCTCAAAGATGAAAAAGAACTTAAAGAAAATTTAAATCCTCGCTTTTAAGACTCAATACCATATATATAAAATGCGATTTTTCTATAAAAATAATCAAATCCTTATGATAAATTTGATACTAGTACTAGAATTTTTGATATCATATAAAATAGCTTCAAAAAAAAAGAACTCGAGAACTTTCGTATCTAGGGATCAGTTATCAACAAAATAATTTTATTGAAATCAATCGGACTCTTCACAAAAGAACTTTGAAGGTTTTATCTTTAAAAATGTTGGAGTTCCTCGTTGTCACCATTTAGGCAGTCTTTGAAGATCAGGTCTTCCAACAAAGAGTTAGAATTTCAATGAGCACTTATTGTGCTCCTTTATTTACTGACTTGCTTTTTATAAATTCCTGTAATGTGTGGTTTATTCAAAAACTTCCATAGGAGAAAAAATACTTGCTGTGTTCTTCGACTTCACATTCAGATTTTATAAGACTTGTTGTCAAATAATAATTATTGTCCATATATATCTTGTTTCGATGTTTTCCAATAAAGTTGAAATAAAAGACTCCCTAGAGATGTTTATTGTACCAAAAATCTTATCTTCATCTTCTTTATATTGGGCATCAAATAACGAGAGATACATGAAGATAATGATTATAGTGCAAAATGTCCTTCACATGAGGCCAGAGTTTGAATTCCAAGACTAGCGAAAGCCATGTGACAATCAAGGCCCATTTATCTCTTGTTTATCATACGATAAATTCTCTCCGTGTATAAATAATAAAAAAAATCAAACAAGATATTATTTTAGATTTATTACTGGAGCTGAGAACTGAACTAAAAATGTTTCCAAGCAATTGTAACAGTAAAACACAGTATAACGATAACTACGTCTAATTAATAAATTCTTTACCAGGTCAGATGAAGATGAACAGTCGCTATAAACAACCTATATTGGTAAAATGTGTCTATATAAATCACGACAAATTCTTTTTCTAATATAGATTTACCCTACAGTGAGCTTTCACCATTAAGATGGAAAACTTGAGCAATAATGAATTACACATGTATTTGGCAAAGGAACGAATAGAACGCAGGTCTTATGAAAAGGCAAGAAATATTAAATGATACGATCTGTTATCATGCATTTGAATATTTTGAGATACTAGTAGCTGTTTTACTTTATATAAAATATTTCTAGAATGTATTCTATTGATAATAAGAATTCGTAAAATTTGTATTTGTTTTATTTGAGATTGTTCATGCTATCATAATTTTCAACGTCTGCATCACTAGAACTGAATACTTGATTGGTGTGGCTGTACACGTCATTTCCGGTCGCTGGATTCACGGAGCCATATTCATTGTCATTAATAATGGTATCTTTTTGAGTATTTCTACAAGTTGAATCGTAGAAATTATCTTCCGCTGGTTCCTTTTGAGGAGCAGTTGTGTGATCGTACATATTTTCCTGTACACTGTGTACACTCTGGCGTGACTTCCTGTTTACTGTATGGTCGTACGTGTCGTCGGTACCGTCTTGTTCCGCTGCTCCGTCTATACCAGTAGAACTTTTTTGGCGGGACTTGTTGATCTCACTATAGACAGCACCGGAACTATGACGGTTTACTTTATTGCTATTCTTTTGTTGAAATCTGTCAGACATAAGCAAGTAGTTACATTTAGCTACTGCAAAAATCAAAAACTCAACATAGAGTCATAAAATAACACTTTGCACCTACATGAAAAAGAGCATGTAAACAAATAATCCTCGAATGTAAAAAAAATTATATCGCTGTAATAAAGAAACATTCAAGGCATAAGCATATTTCCTTCTATCTGCAGTTTTGCATATTAAATACTTTAATTTTTTTTATAATCAAATACATATAATGAGAAAGAGCATTTGCTTGCGGACAACCAAATAAACAGAACATTTTATGCAAATCTAAAACACAATAACAAATATTCATATATTTTACCAACCTTTTATAAAGTACAATGAAGACTATCAATAAAATGATAATTACTCCAGCCGCTGCACCCCCTACAATAGCTGGCACGATACTATCTGGAACAAAATCGTAGTTTTATATTTCATCTGAAAATATTAATATTTCATATCTCAAATAAAATTCCATATTTATCTCTACCTTGATGATTCAATCTGAAAATGATTCACAAAAATATTTACTATCGGCATTTACATGTTGCTTTCTTCCACGGAAATGGAAGCATTCGATATATTTTTTTGCTAAAATAGTTTATTTCATATTGAACTTCATGAGATATACACTAATTCCATTTTTGAAAAGTGTTTACTGAAAATCTTCTCTGATAAATTACACTTGTTTAGCTTCATTTGGTTATCAAGGTTAAATAAAATACAAAGAAAAAAGACAATCTAGGTACAAAATTATTATCAGATTCATGCCAAGTTTGAATTATGCTTTGGTATACATGTATATATTTTTACTATTGCATCAACTGTACACACCATTAGGTTTGGTTTCCTGTTCAGCAGATAATAGGGGGGATGAAGAAAGATAAGACACTGTGGTTTTCTGGTGGATAAATGTTGTAGTAACATCTGAAAAATTTGTAACTTCAAATGAGGTTGTCTCACCTTCACTTGTAGTGAGTTCAGTAGAAGGCTGAATAGTAGAATCTATAAACAGCAGAAAGAAAATCTATGTGATTAAAAGACAATATGATAATACTATTGATGCAGAGATTTTATGAATAAAACAACTTTCTAAAATGAAAATTTCTAAACTTTCAGATAATTCATATTTTAGCGCAAATGAATATTGCATTTAGATACAAATCAAATCTGTTTAAATGCACTTGCAAACATACAAGTCACTGTCTAGGTCGCTGGTCTGAAAAATTGGCATGGACGACCAAGAGGTACAGTGCCACACATAGCAACTACTGTATATTTATTGCGCACAAAAAGTTGTGTTCGGTTTTGGATTTATGTTTCTTAATTTTCACCCCAATTGCAAAAAAGAGATTTCAATAAATCCCTTAATCCTCTATGAGGTGTTCTCATTGTTGACGTCTGCAAGATGCGCTGGACCGAATAATCTGGTAAACTAAAATGGCGGTATAAATAGGAGAAATTTTTAGTGGCCTCAATTTCAGGACCAGGTGGGCTATTAAATTAGTTCTAAGGAAAGGTTTGTTATGAAAAAGTATGTTAGGTACACATGATTAGAAATATTTTTAGCTGAAAGTTTTTAAAAATTGAGAAATAAATCGACAAACAGCGGGCCTTTTAAGCGCAGTAAGTATACTTTTTTTAATGGGTGGTACAGTAGCTCTCCGGTCTCTCAAAAAAAAAAAAAATCAGAAAGCTACTGTTCTGCAGATTTCGCAAAAAGTAAGATAAATGTGCAGAATCTTTGCGAGCAACGTTGCAATATGTAGGCTAAATAAGAACATCTGTTAATGAGTTGAAATCTACGTGCAATTAAGAAAGTCATTTTACTTCAAACAAAATAAATTCTATCAGGAAGATTTGTTTAAAAAACATTTATTTTATTAAACAATGATTCTCATTATATGGTAAATAAATTTGAACATCTCACCAGTATTACCGGATCGTTCACACAGAACAGGAAGTAAATCACTGCAAGTTTTGGCATGAATTTTTACGGTGCTGCTTGCCGAATCTTTGCTTACCGCTAAGCAGTCGTATAGATCTGTGGTACTATCTACAAAATGTTAAAGTTTATCATGGAGCCCAAATGTGCAAACCAAATCTATTTTTTTAAATCCGAAAATACTATATAAAAGAAAGATAAACATCTTGTTAATAAAACGAAAATGCAAAATAAAAAACAAAATTATTAAAGAAAATACAAAATAAAAACAAACAGAAAAACTAAGAAAAAACGAAAATATGAAAGAAAAACCTTGATATTACTGAATAACAACTAAAAGAAAATAAATTACTCAAAATGAAAAAAAAAACTTTAATACGGAATTAAGATGTGCATGCATGGTAAGGACGTGAACCCATAAATCATTCCTTAAGCGCACGTGTTATAAAACATTGAAAATTCTATATTATATGCCTGATTTTGTTTCGAAATTAATATGATATGGAGATAACAAACAGTATTCAAGCTCAAAAGTTCATAAAACAATGCAAATTAGGAGCAGAGCAAACACGAACCTCGGTGGGATCAAGTGCCATGGAGGAGTGAGCATCCCCTGCCGACCGGTCACACCCGTCACGTTTCCTTGTCATACTCGGGAATTAACGGGGAAATCCATCATCAGTTCAGTGTGTAAATAATGGACTAACAACTAGCATGAAAAACGTTAGTCATGATTTGACTCAATGATAAATTGTATTTACTGACAAGGTCATTGCATTATACACGCAATGTTTGCATTAATTTTATACTCATCTTTCTCATATCAATAACATAATAACTAGACGATCACAACAAGGATAAATTTTACCCTTGGTTATCTTATATGCTTAGATTTACGATTATGCTGTATGCTCCTATGCTGTAATAACTAATAATGAGCAAGAATGTCCCTTTCAATGATTTGAAATCCATGGTTCCTAGGTCAGAGAATCTGGTTTTAATGCGGGGTTCCATACACATGTACATGTATATTTAATATATAGTTTGAAGACATTTTTATTTGAAAATCTTTTCTTTGCTCCTGGGTTTCAAGCAAACACTCTAACAGCATGGTAATGATAAGGTATAGTTGTCGTAGTCATGGTCATCGAATATACAGCAGGCCAAATATACATGATATCTTTTTTGATTCAATTTCGGTCTAGGCCAATAAATAACCAATAGATAGCCATCTCATTCACATCTCGCTTGAACGAACCTCTACCGGTCCTTTGGGTGGGGTCCAGCAGTAAGTGTTTGCAAGAAAAAGATCACCCATTGCTCAATGAGTGCTTCAGCATAGATATTGATTTGCAGTCCACCTACAAACATTGGTTTCTCCATATGTGAAAAATTCTCAAAAGGGACGTTAAACAACAAGCAAAGCGATATTGTACTCGGTTCCCTTGACATTTTTTTAATTGACTATTTGAAGAGACTGAAGAAACTCACTACTTAGATTCTCCAACTGTAAAATATCATTCAAATGTTACGGATTTTGTCAAGTACATGCTATTTTAGCCATAGCGTGTAGGAAGAGACTTTCAATTTTAAACAATCTGTACAATGCCTTAAATATTGAATATTCAAAACAAATTATTTTGGTCTTCTTTTTTAAACTACACGTTTTTACCGATGTGCTTTGTGCCATCGGTTATAAGCAAAGTCGGAATGTCCAAGCTGCTCTCGTTGACAGATATTTATTTTTAATTGGGGGAGAGAGGTTATCGTCGCAAAATCTAATGAAATTGGTTACCTGATTAAGTTAAGATTTATTTAGTGGAGTATGCCAGGGCACCAACGATAGTTGAAAACGTAGGATAATTTGCATAACGGGCCGGCATAACGGGCGAAGAATAAAATAAAAAGACCCTTTTTGTTAAATAAATATTTTTATCACCTCAACAAAAAGTACTGTAGTCCATTATAGTTTAGTATGATAGTATTTTTTTTTACTTTAGTTAATCAAAATATTTACCATTGTAAATCGAAGTATATTTACTATTGATTGAAGACTGTGATATTTTAAGTTTGCCAATTCATACAAGTTCATTTATTTATGATATTAAATAGAATTAGTACTATTTCTATATTAAGCATCATTGGTGTTGAGTTAAAGAAAGTTTAAGTTTTGAAATCACAAATCTATATTTTACTAATATTAATTTTTATTAGGGTAGACCAAGAGAGGTGAGTTTAAGAGAGAATGAGAAGGATTTAATAAATGTGATGCACTGTTAATTTACTTCGTCTACATAGTAATAGTTAAAAAGGGAATATTTTTCCTTGTCAAGCATAATCAAGAAAATCAAGGTAATACATGTAGATATACTTTATGCTTTATTACTAGGTACTACACTAACACTTTGTTGACCCTGTTTCAGTATCCCTTTTCTCTTTCTTATGGACCATATGCATTGTATCTTCACTTGTCTGTCCGCTGTATTTTATACATTGGATTCTCTACAATGTTATATTATTCTAAGGCGACCGTTGCAGCTTAATTTTTACAAATAATCTGTACTTTAGAAGCATTAGTTAGATATTTCTTTCACAATATTTATTCCATATTCTTACAAAATTTACTTTTTGCCCAATTTGTTGAAATTATTACAGTAGATCCCGATGTGAACTATTTGACATGTGAATAGTTGGAGACGGATTTTTTTAAAATAAGATCTCAGATACGCAAAAATGAAAGCTTAAAATATCATTTTACCATATCTTCAAATACTAAAGGAAATTCTAATTTAAATTTCAATACATAAAAAACTCTTATTTGTCTTTTTACTACATGTATTTTGTCAATTTGATCTTTGTATTTTGCCATAGCTCATTGTAAGGTTTTTTTTATGATCTCTATTAATAGAATTTCATCAAGGCAAAACCATGCACTGTCGACTTCAACAAAGTCCAATTTCACATTTAAAATTTCTAAACATAAGAAAAGTCTTTATATTTTCCTTGCAGAATTAAAAGCTTTGCAAGATTGAAGAACTCAGAAAATGCTGACAATAAAATTTGAACTCAAATACTTTATACCAATCATACTGTTGCTCCACTGATTAATAATTCGTCGAGATATTCCTGTCCATGCCTTTATGCTACTTGAAGGTGGATTTGTGAGGTCGTAGGAACCATCAAAGGAACCCCTCAAAGAACATTTTTTTACAGCATTAGTCCAGTTTTTTACGTCGTTCTTCAAGATAGCGTTTTTCCCGTCTGTAACAGTTTGACCTACAAAAATTAATGTTCACTGAATATTTATCAGCGATGGCTTATTATATAATTTTGCAAAATATACAGGTAGAGTGAAGTCAGAATAATATAAATTGGATGTCTGCATCAATAAATATCTGTGGAGTACGTCTTTTGAAATCGAATCGTTTTTTTGTTTGTTGTTTATTTTATTTCTTTTTATTCCTTAAAGATTTTTAAGGGAACACTGTCCAGTAATTTGTTGGGAATACCAGGACATTAACAACAGTAAGAAACATTAACCAAAAAAAAAGTAATTTACAAAAAAATAATAAGATGACTTTCCAGCATCCCAACATTATTCTCCATTGAATAATATACAATTATGGACTCCTTTGGTGTTGAATATGGTTTGTTATTCACCAGAAAAATATTCATATTGACCGAGGCGAAGCCGAGGTCAATATGAATATTTTTCTGGTGAATAACAAACCATATTCAACACCAAAGGAGTCCATAATTGTTTTACTATATAGTCGGAATTTGAAGAAATAATACATTGAAGGCTGTATTACGACACAATTTTCATTTGCGATTTTCCATTGTTGAAAATAAAAAAAAATCTCCAGATTACTGTTTGTAACCTCCGCGTTTTCCTTTCCGAGTTTTGCTATGTGTAAGACGTCCAAATATTAAAAAATAGTCCTGAAATAGGTTTGAATAATTGTTTTCCTGTTCAGATACGTAGCTCGCTGCGACCGTTGCAACCATTATTTACAACCTTGTTCGATGTTTTGATTGTGACGTCACAATGCCGTTGCACGCGCATTGACCCTCCGGTGAATACGGCCTAAAATCCGGTGAATATGTAGTGTTATGAAATGTCTGCGTTTGTATAGATTATATAGGGACTATAAATAGACTAAATATGATATATATATATATATATCTAATCGTTGGTTGAATATTGAATTTGCTTGTATATTTGTTTGATAATATGTGATATCCTTCGTAATTTGACTTTATTTTTTTTAGAAAGATATGCATGAATTGTTTTACTTACATAAATACGGGAGTTCTGTTTCACAGGGAAGAAATTCGTGCATCAGTCCTATATTTAATCCATTCAGCAAAATCACAGCCGCACATTCACCTGTTCCATTAGCTTAAAAAATTGTTTATGGAAAACATGACCATGCAATGTTTAATAAAAAATTATTTAGCCCCCCCCCCCCCCCCCCCGAGCCTGTGTGACACAAATCCTCTAGTGATATGCAATGAAGAAAGCACAGCTTGAGCTTTATGTGAAAAAAGTTATAAAATTGGATTAAATATTAGTTTAGAATTTGAATGTGATAAATCATGAAAGAACAAGAAAACATTGATGTAACCATCAATTGTCGCCCGGGAAATATATAAAGTAAACAATGAAAATGAGTCTTGATCATCAAACCGCTTCAATATGTGTGAAAAGGAATGCGTCTAATTGATGGAGACGATAGTCGCGAATATTTTGAAAACTTGTAGTCGGATAAAAATCAATCAAAAACGATACCATTTTAAACTTGATCAATTCCTCAAGTAATTGTTGGCTGCATAAAATATAAATTGAATTTAGACACACGCATCACCTATATTTAAAAATGTATTATTTTTCAATATTAGAATATAAAACACGAACTGTGCTGAGTACGTTTTTATCAGAGAAGTAAAATTCGATGTTCTAATAAAAGGGACCTGTCGTTTTTTCGATAGTAAATGATAAGCAACTTTATATATTAAATATGAAAAACGTATATATTTTTACAGATTCACTTTATGGAAGTAAATATATTATGTATCTCGTAATTTATAAACGCAAAGAACATTCTGATTAACAATCTTTTCAATGTTTAGAAAACCTTAAATTCTAAATAACTACTCCCACCCCAATCCCCATACACCAACACTTAAACTTATATGTATAGAGCAGCCCGGTCCTCCGGGCTGCAATAAGACATGGAGGAGGACTATTCTGGAAAGATGACGTCAATAACTTGGTGCATTCCTAAATTTTAATCAGAAAAACCTCAAAATGACTTGTGGTTTGTACCTAAAGCCGTCACACAAGCCAATTTTAGATATGTTGTGTAAATCCTTTAATAACTCACATTTCCTAAAATGTTTTCACTGGGCCTCCCCCAGGGCATGGGCTGCAACATAAAGCCTGCGACATTTGATGGAACTCATTCATGGATTGATTACAAGTCCCATTTTGATGCTTGCACAGCAGTTAATGATTGGTCCAAGACAGACTCTATTTAACAGTCTCATTACGAGAGGCTTCTCAAGGAGTGCTTGGAAATGTTTCCGCCGAGAATGGTCAGCAGTACGAGTTGTTGGACTGGAGGAGAGATTAACACCGCCAAACCAAACAGAGCTGTACCACGCTCGATTATAAGAGAGACGTAGAGAGCATCAGTACGGAAGTCCATTTATGACCTATCAAAAAATATTTTTGAATTCGTTATAACGATTTTTAGAATTCGTTATAACGAATTAAATTTGTTATAACAGATTCATTGAATTCGTTATAACGAATTTAATTTGTTATTACAGATTTATTGAATTCGTTATAACGAATTTAATCTGTTATTACAGATTTGTTGAATTCGTTATAACGAATTTAATCTGTTATTACAGATTTGTCGAATTCGTTATAACGAATTTTATCTGTTATTACAGATTTGCTGAATTCGTTATAACCAAATTCTTGAATTGGTTATAACGAATTCAATAAATCTGATATAACAAATTAAATTCGTTATAACGAATTCAATGAATCTGTTATAACAAATTAAATTCGTTATAACGAATTCAATGAATCTGTTATAACAGATTAAATTCGTTTTAACGAATTCAATAAATCTGTTACAACAAATTAAATTCGTTATAACGAATTCAATAAATCTGTTACAACAAATTAAATTCGTTATAACGAATTCGAAAAATCGTTATAACGAATTCAAAGATATTTTTTGATAGGTCCTAAATGGGCTTCCGTACATCAGAGACAGGACAGAGTATCAGAAGACTCACTAGTTTGGCCAATTCCTAAGTATCAATGGAAGTTTGAGAAACACTAGGAAAAGAGACTTTCATCAATGTGTTAGCTGATTCTGAAATGCGATTGCGCATCAAACAAAGCAGGTCTCAGTTGGCAGAGAATAGTTTCGGATAAAGTAGAAAATAGAGAAACCTAAGGTTTGAATGTATATTATAGGTATTTTATAGCTAGAATATTTTATGGGTGCATTTGGAGGGAATTTCTGGCCTTGTACATGTATATCTTATTGAAATATGACACTTTAGTGTCACTACGACTGTTTATGGGATATGGACTAGAAATACGAAACTAAGATCTAAAACCACTCTTTCGGTTTTTCACCAGAAAAGCGCTTTTTAAAACCTGATCGATATCAAGTTTACCGTCAGTCAAACGTGTTGATTGCCAAAAAAGCTATCATCCGCCACTTTCAAAGTTTGAACGAAGCTATACGTTTGGAAGTCGAGTTGGATGCTTATTACAAAACTGAAAAGAGAAGTCACTCTCACGCTATGAGTTTACAAAGTCTATAAATGTAGACAGATCGCATCCTACCGATTTATTGTTAAATTGATGCAGATATTCAGACGAAATTAGATTCATTAGAAAAGCGTTTTGGGGAAAACACATTCAGTAGAATAAGTTGAAATGTTCCTTGGAGACGCAGATTTGTCAATATACAGAATGGTGAAAAGATAAAATGTTTTATTGATCAGAGGAAGGGCATATTCGTAGAAATTGTCCTTAATTGAAGAGAAGAACACTTCTGCTGATGAGCTATGTGATCTTTCGGCAAAGAGAAATGCGCGTCGAATTCGAATAAGGCAAAGCTAGGCGGATGAGAGTCATGAGACCTAAACATTTTAATGGAAGAAGGATATGGAAATAACGAACAGTATTCAATCTCAACGTCCATTAAACAATATACAAAATAAGAGCAGAGCAAACACGGACCCCCGAAACAGCAGAGGTGGGATCAGGTGCCATTGAGGAGTGAGCATCCCCTGCCGACCGGTCACACCCGCCGTGTGCTCGTTTTCATGATCAGGAAATAACGAAAAAAATCCGTCGTCAATTCTGTGTATAAATAATGGACTAACAATTGTTATGAAAAACGTCAGTCAGCATTTGACTCAATGATAAATTGTATTTGCTGACAAGGTCATTGTATCGACCATAGAATTTACGAAATGATGACTTTAAACGAGACTGTTGATATTCTTGTTTCATCAACTTGCTTGTCAATAATTTACCTCGTTTAAGAAATTGTTCATAAGTAGAGCATGCTCTTGCGTATCGAATCAACTGAGATATATATACTCCGTATGCAGGTGATGAAGGTATATTGCTGCATAAGTAAGGGAAGTTGACGATAGAAAAGTTAAAGTCATCACGTTTATCATATAGCTTGGTTGTTAGATTACCATTAGTGTCTTTTTCAATTAAAATATCCAAGTATGAAGCAGAAGTGTCGGACTCTGTGGTATCTTTTATCTCAAGCTCACCAGGATATATCCTGTCGACGTAGAAATGTAGGGACGATCAACTTATGTGAAGAGGCAGGAATTCTCAGAGGTATTATAAAGGTATGTCCTTTGGTCTGTGTTGCACACCTGCAACCTTTGGGCGTTTCATGGAAACAATAATTGCAGGACTTCAATGGGACAAGTGCTTGGTGTATCTTGACGATAAAATTGTCGTTGGAAAGTCGTTCGAGGACATGTTACGAAACCTCGGAGAGGTGTTCAGGAGATAGCAACAGGCAGGTCTGAAGTTAAAGGCTACCAAGAGGCCAATGGGTCATATCGCTTACCTGAGCACTATTGCTAGGGGAAAAAGCAAAAATCAATCCAGTTTTTAAAAATTAAATGCATATTATCCCAACCTACCCCTTAAATAAAGGCAGAAGGGAGGATGATTTGAATTAACTTGAATCTACAAAGGATGCTTACATATTTCTTTGACTTGCTGTGGATTTTTTTCGCTATAAGTTTGAACTTTCATTTTTACCCCACCCTATCCCTAGAGGCCATGATTTGAGCAAACTTGAATCTACACTACCCCAGGATGGTTCTATATACTAGTAAATATGATCAATCATAGCTGTGTTGTTCCTGAGAAGAAGATTTTTTAAGGTTTTTTTCTATATATATTCCTATGTAAAAACTTCGGTCGTCCATTATGGCCCCACCCTACCCCCCGGGGGTCATGATCTGAATAAACTTAAATCTAAACCATCTGAGGATGCTTCCATATATATATGACAAATCATGGCCTTGTCGATCTTGAGAAGAATATTTTTAAAGATTTTTACAATATACTCCTCCATATAAAACTTTGGTCGTCCATTGTGGTCCCACCCAACCCCCGGGGGTCATGCTTTGAACAAAATTAAATCTACACTACCTGAGAATGCTTTCACATTAGTTTCATCTTTCCCTACCCAGTGATTCTTGAGAGGAAGATTTTTTAAATATGCCACCAAATTTTCACCATTTCTTAATCATCTCCCCTTGAATAAGGGCGTGGTCCTTTATTTTAACGAACTTGAATTTCCTATACCCAAGGATGCTTTGTGGCAAGTTTGATTGAAATAGTGGTTCTGGAGAAGAAGTCGAACATTTAAAAAGTTTACAGACGGACAGACAGCTAGACAGACGGACTACAGACAAATTGTGATCAGAATAGCTCATGTGAGCTAAAAGGTGCAACCTTTTTGCCGAGAAAGTGTCATACCTTGGGTATATCATGTCAAAATTTTAAAGAGGGTGTTTCTACTGATCCTGAAAAAGACAAGAGTAGTTGCGGAATGGCCGGTTCCAATTTATATCTCAGAAGTTTGATCTTTCTTGGGACTTTACAGCAACTACAGGCGTTTTATTCGAGACTTTGCCTCAATAGCTAAACCCTTGCATCGGCTAACTGAACAGGGTAGGAAGTTCCAATGGACAAAAGAAACACAAGAAGCATTTTAGATATTGCGCAATCAATTAATCAGTGTGCCAATTCTAACAATATCTGATGTAAGCAAGCAGTTCATCCTGGACACTGATGCAAGTGAAACGTCAATAGGCGCTGTGCTATCAAAGATAAAAGATGACAA